AACACTCTCTGGGTTTGACCCCTTACCCAGTTCCCAACCCACCAAGCCATTGCTGACCCACTGAGCCAAGCTAGCCAACAAGAACTTTCTGCATGACTTTGCTTTATCCCCTCCAATTTCCCCTGTGCAACTAACACTACCCCAAAGAGGGGCTGGTTGTGCCCAGGAGAGAGGTGTGCTAGACTGGTACCATCCCCTTTCCTGCAGGAACTGCTTTCAAGTCCCAGGTGATGAGCCAGTTGGGCTGACACCACAGGTTTTTCCACACGACAAGACCTGCACAACTGTCAATATCTGTTCAAGATACAGCCTGGAATAAAACAGCAGGCGTCTGGGATCAAGGCTGGAGGACATCACTGGGCCTGCAGAAGCCAAGAGTGGTACAGGAAAGTTCAACTTAGGGTTGAGATGCAATACAAGAGCTGCACATGAGCAGCCTTATTGGCTAGAACAAAAAGGCCTCCTCAGGCAAAGTTCCTATAGTGGACATGACTCTAGCCAGCAGACTTACCCATATCAGGAGTATCAGGTTTTTACATATTAAAAGGGAAGGGTTTTTTTTGTGCCTCTCAGATTTCAATTTTCCTGTATTTTGGACCATGGTCCCTAGGCCCCCCCCCCCTTTTTTTTTTTAAACATCTGGACTCTGACCTCCTGCATTTCAACCTATTGCCACCAGAGGGCAGGAGATCCCAACAGCAGGACACTGCACCAGTGTTACTGATTCTGCAGCACCTGGACACCTGGGACCAGCCACAGGCAAGGAATATTGCTCTCCATCTTTCACCCAAGCTCTCATGAGTCCAACTCTTCCTCCCCCTCCCCCTGCTGGGAAGAGGAATGTGTCCCTCTCCCTGCTTTCTGTAGGCTTCCATTTCCAGGCTGTGCAATGGGACTCTGCTCGGCCCCAGGGCAAGCCAAGCCATAAGCTCCTGCCAGGCCACTGCCCCTCACCTGCCTGGTCCTGCTCTCCATACCATGTGTTCCAGTTCCCAACCAGGTCACAAGGGTAGTCAGTGTCCGAATGCAGCTTGGGCAGCACTTCCTCCCTGCAAAGGATAAACTGGGGTCACAGTGGCCAGTGCTTGTTGGTTGCTGAACCCAGGGAATCATAGGACCAATACTGGAGAGCTGCATTTGATTACCATCCTTGGGCTCCTCAGGACAAAGGGCAGGATGGAGGTGGAAGCAACAGGACAGGGCTCGAGAATGCTAATTAAAAGAGCTGTATCATTCCCTAGTGTCCCCTCCCACCCTGCCAGGTAGGGAGCTCCCTGCATAGAGAGTGGCTGCAACTGCAAGGCAGGCATGGAGGGTCTGCGTGGGGTGGGGAGGGGGGTGTTTAAGAGAACAATTAGACTCCAAGGTGGCCCCCCACAAGGGAACAAGGACCAGTAGTGCCACCACCTTTAAGTGACAGGCTGGTCCCTGGCCATACCCTAACTGTGCCCCAGCCCAACCCAGCAGGAAACATCCAGACCATGGAGAGCTCCACCTGGGCAGGACCACACATATCATGGGAAGTCAAGGTCAGGCTGAGAGGCACTTGTGCTTCCCTGGGTAGTGCTGGGAGCCACTGACTTGAAGCTGACCCACTGAATTTGGGGTTCAGGGTGGGGTGGAAAAGGGACTGTGGAGCCAAGAGGCAGCTCTGGTGTTGAGTACCAGCCAACTGAGGATCTGCAAAGTGTTTTAAACATGCAAGAGGGAGTTTGTCTGTCTTTGCTTCGAGCGAGTCAGAGTCACAACATTTTTTGTGTACGTGCACAAAAGAGAGGGAGGAATGAGACAGAAGCACAGCAGGGAATAGAAACTAGGAGCCCTAATTTCTGGCTCTGTGCCTGTCCAGGGGCCCTTTCCTACCCCCACCCTGGGACTGGCTCCACAGAGGCCTGCCTTGAGGACACTTGATCCATAAGGGCCTGACAGTCTCTGCTCGATCAGTCAGAGCCTGTCACACCATTGCCAGCCAGGCTCCCAGCACCACAGATGTGGAAGGTGAGGGGACTCACGTCAGGCTGTTGTAAGCATCCAGGCATTCGGGCTTCACATTATGAACTGCAGAAAACAACAATAAAGAAAGTCACATCCTCATAGCAGCATTTGGGCCCAGGTTAAAGAGGACAGGACTGAGAGCAAGTAGCTGTCTTCAGGGCTGGGCAAAATTGTGAGCTCACAGCTGCATCAGGTTAAGCCCTTAGCCAAAAAGAGCTGGCTAAGCACTCTCCAGGCAGGAGAGCTGCTGGGACCTCCTGCTTCCCCTGATCCATGTGAGGCCACACTCACACACTCTCCCTGAGCTTAGTGGCAGTCTAATCCAGTCCTGTTTGAATATTTATGCCCATTAGGGATCACCCCTCTTATTTTAGATGACTGAGGATCCCAGCTTCAAGGAGCACCAAAGAGCAGGAGTGATCTGAGGAAGACATGGCAGTAAGGGGGGCCAGGACAGGTAGCACTGCAGCTCAGCAATTAGGTGCAGCAACCGTGGGAGCCCTGTAGGCACACAGCTGCTGCTCCATGGTTTGTCTGTTAACCCTGCCTGGCATAGGCATTCACAGTGTCCCATCCAGTTGGCCAGGGAGAATTTGCCAATCAAATTCCTCTCCCTGATGCCCCCCAGCTTGCAGGGAACACAAGCTTACCCCAACCAGACTGCTTACACCTACGCTTTTCAGAGGTGGCTCCAAGGAAAGCCACTTGCTACCTGGGACCCTGCAACGCACTGACCATCTCTTGTATTGTGGGGAGGGGTAGGAATCAGAGGCGTCTCCTCCAGCAGGATTTGGAAGTGGAATTGGGCTCAAGACCACCACAAATAAGGCTGCCTCTAAACACAGCCCACCCCTGCTCATTCTCTTTACGAGCAGGGAGATTCTAGCAACACCCCATGGAAAGGAATGTGCCAGGCAAGGGAGGGCTAGGAAGAGGGGCAGCTCACACTGGATCTTGTACAGGTTGCTGGTCTCTTTCTTCGACAGGAGGTTTGAATGAGCATCCTTCCGGGGATCCACTTTGTGGACAAAAAGTGAGCGGAACCAGCTGCTCTCATTGTCTCTGCTGGCATAACCCCTAGAAAGAGGCACAATGGTCAGCAGTGGCAAATAGAGGGTTACAACAGCAGTGGTGGGCAGGGAGATGGATAAGCAAAGGGTGGGAACTAGACCTTCACTCAGCTATGGGAGGCACTTGACTTGCAGAACTGTAGCCCTTTGCGGATATGGCCCGCCATGTAAGAATCACCAAACGCTAACCTAAGCAGTGAAAGCGGCATAAATCCAATCACCAGAAGTAGGGCCTTGTAGAGAAAAGTCACTACACAAATGAGGTCATGACATCACCAATCTACTGAGAATATCTACAACAGCAGGACACCAGCATGCAAGGCATCTGCAGCAAGCAACATGTGAACCCCTCCTCCTATCCTACCAGCCACCCATCTATGAATTCAGACAGGCCCCCTGCCATGAGATCAGAAGGGGAGCAAACTGGCTGGCACCACATTGCAGTTTCACTGACCTACAGGGCAATCTGCAGCAGCTATCTGTTGACACAGGCTTTTTTCCTGAAGAGCCCAAGGGTTCAAGGTTCTTTTCAAGCAGAGATTGCAAATTCTCCTGCCTGACTTTGAGGCCATTTGCTGCATTAATCTGTGCATTTCTAATTGGGTCCATGAGCTTGGAGACCAGAACGGGCACATTTCATCAACCAAAAATAGACAGACAACAGTGACTGCAAAAGGCTCAAATAAAGGCCAAATATTAAAGCACAAAGCAACATTTGTAAAAGGAAAACTTCAGTTGAGATCAGGGCCCCAATATCTGAGCTTAAAGTTACACATACAAAAACCCAGGGTTCAAACTTTCACTTAACAGTGAAGGAAGGATACTTCTCTTTGTGAATGAAGGAAGGAAAAAAATGTTATTGACTTCCATTTAAATAGGGACTACTAGGCAGAGGCAGGAAGGTAAACGCATAGTGGAGACTGAATGTGAACTACTGCAGCTGTTCACAGGTTTACAGACCCCTCAAAGAGCTCTTCACAGTACATCTCAAAGCACTTCCTGAAGAACAGCATTAGCCTCACCTCCATTTTACAAATGCAGGAACTGAGACAGAAAAGGAGAACATCTTGCCCAAGTCCACCCTGCAGGCTTCCAGCACAGCTTGGAACTGAATTGAGGCTTTTTGAGGCTCAGTCCAGTGCTCTACCCACTGGACAATGCTGCTTATTAGGCTGCCACACAGCTAGAAGGATCCAAGTGTAGTCAGTCTTGTCTGCCCTCCCCCACCCCCATCCTGAACCCTGGGAAAGACAGGAGAACTGATGGGATTACCCGTGTTTTACCTGTTGATTAAGACATCTCTGACCCCTAGAAAGGAAGGATGGAAGGGGTAGGGCAGAACAGGCCCAACACCATCCTCACTCCTTCATGGGAGGCAGGGAGCTGAAGAAGGAGCCTTCTCCCACAGCAGTCAGTGAAACAGAAAAAGTGCCTTCTCACATCCAGTGGACATGACACAGCAAAGGGGCTTGCATATGCAAGATGGATCCACCCAGCAGGGTGGAGGCAGCTACCCAGGGAAGGAAGCAGGGGTGGGAGTGCATTACCCCTACAATGACAGCTACCCTCACACCATGCTTCATATGTTGGCTCCAGCTACCAGGTTTAGTCCCCCCTGGTTACTTGTACTTTTGTCAGTCTCTGTTACAACCAAGTTTGCAGCCCACCCGTGGAGATGGGCACTAACACGTGGATTTTTATCACAGCAGCTGTCCATGTTCTTGGCCCCCACAGCCACCATTTACATTAGAGGCCCTGCAGATGGGATTTGCACATCTGCCTAACCTATGGATCTTGTGGAAAAGCAACCACCTCTTTCTGTGGTTGTTACAGGCTCTCAGGCGAGTGAAACCTGCCAGACAATCCCCTTTCCAGGGACTTATCAGGTAAGCTCCTTTTCAACCCAAAGCACTTTCACAGCGGTGTTCTTCCAACACCTCCTGTAGCCCTTTACCAGCAAGTACAAGGTGGTCTGCAGGGGCGATGCCTCGAAGAGGAGCAGAGCAACCTGCATGGGGGCTATGGGGTCTCGTCTCAGATCCACCCATAACCCCAGCATGGCTGGGCCTTCATCCTTGTAAAAAAACCCACCAGCAGCAATGCAGCCTCCACAGGCTTCTGAGCTAACATCCCACTGAAACCAAGAGAGCGGTTCCCACCTCTCCCCATTGTCTGAGGCCACCTGTCAACTCAGGAAGACCACGCTCCTACCCAGGGGCAGGCTCCCAGGGGACCGACAGCACCGGGCCCCACGGGCGGGAGGGCTCTGGGAGCTGCAAGATGCAGCTTGTGCCAGGCCAGACTTTGCCCTGGGGCTCACGCTCTAGTCAAGCATTATCGTAAAGCATTACCAAAGATAAACGGCCTGGTCCCTGGCTGCACACACGCCTGTCAGACGCGGCTTGCGAGTCCCACCTGCCCGGGCTCGGCACCCCACGGAGACCTCCGCCTGCCCGCGGGCCTCCCCCACGGGGCCCTGCCGCTTCCGTAAGAGGCGGAGGGGCAGCGGCAGCGCTCCTACCCCCAGGCTGCAGGCCCCCACGCTCCCCTC